TCTAATTAGCATATTATGCTTTTATTATTATAGATTTATTCTTTTTTTTAAAATCTTTATTAATATGTTTATTAATTTTTAGAAAGAGTGAAGGAGAAAGAGAGAAAGAAAAATATTGATTAGTTGCCTCCTGTATGTGCCTGGATTGGAAATCGAACCCACAACCTTTTGGTGTATGGGATGACACTCCATCCAAACAAGCCATCCCATCAGGGCTATTTGATATGGGTATAGAATTCTAAGCTGGCAATTATTTTTCTTTATTGCTTTTAAAATATTTTGTTGATTCCCGGCTTCTGTTTTTCCTGATGAAACTTTCCTGTCAGTTTAACTGTTGCTCTTTTGCAGGTATTCTCTTATTTTAAGATTCTTCTCTTTGTTGTTTGTTTTCAGCAGTTTTGCATTAGTGTGCTTCAGAGTAATTTTTTAAAAATTGTATCTTGGTGTTTTTAGAACTTATTATTAAATTTATACTTTAATCTCTGATCAGCTTCAGAAAATTTTTAGGTATTGCTTTGGGCCAATTTTCTTCCATTAGAATTCTAATTTTAAGTACGTAATTCTTCTGACAACATTCTCTCTTTCTCTTATAGCTTCCTGCTTTGCCATCCTTTTACTTCCATAATTCTTTTATTTTCTTGCTCACTAGTTCTCTGTTCAGCAGTATGTAGGCTGCTTTTAAAGCCACACACTGAGTTTTTCAGTTCTAGAATACACATTTGGTTTTTTCTTTTGTAGTTTCCAATTTCCTGTCTCATTCTCAAAATTGTTTTTTAATTTCTCTGAATATGCTGAGCATAGTTATTCCTTTAAAAATCTGTATCTGATAAGTGTATTATCTGGATCTTCTGTTGGACTTTACTGTCAGCTCTTATTTCTCTTGGTTTTTCTGTTACGGTTCCTTATTTTTTCTTCTGTCCATTATTTTTGATTGGAAACTAAAATCATTATGCATGAAGAATCCTATATAATAAAAGCCTAATATGCTAAGTGTCTGGTCATCCTGTAGGCCGTTCAACCATTCAAAGTGTAATAGGCTAATGATATACTAAGGCTTCTCAGCCTCTCACTATGACATGCACTGACCACCAGGGGGCTGACACTCTGACTGGTAGGTTAGCTTGCTGCTGAGGTTTGGCCAATTGGGACTGAGTGAGCTGGGCTGGACATGCCCTGGAGCCCTCTCACGGTCCCTCCTCAGCTGGCTAACCTCCTGCGTCTCTCCCCACTCCTATCATGCACCTGTGGGGTCCCTTGGCCTGGCCTGCACCCTCTCGTAATCCAGGACCCCTCAGGGGATGTTGGAGAGCTGGTTTTGGCCCAATCATTCTGCAGGGTAGGCCAAGGGACCCCACTGGTGCACGAATTAGTGCACCAGACCTCTAGTATAAAAAACTAGTGACCCTTGCCAAAACCGGTTTGGCTCAGTGAATAGAGTTTCGGCCTGCAGACTGAAGGGACCCAGGTTCAATTCCAGTCAAGGGCATGTACCTTGGTTGCAGGCACATACCCAGTGAAGGGTGTGCAGGAGGCAGCTGATTGATGTTTCTAACTCTCTATCCTTCTCTCTTCCTCTCTGTAAAAAATCAATAAAATATATTAAAACAAAATAAGCAAACAAACAACTAGTGACCCAGTACATGAAACTCATGCACATTAAAAGGAATTAATTAGAGGAAATATTTCAATATTGCTATTTGCCCTTTCTCTGTAATAGAAGTGTCAGAGATAAAAGAAAATTAGTAAAATGTATATGAAAATCTTCCTCCTGTCAGAATCTGGGGTGTGCCATAGGAATGAGAGTCAAGTTCCCTCCCACCCATGTGCGTCTTGAAATCTCTTGAGACCCAGATCTGGCCAGCCCCACCCCCCATTGGGCTAGATCCAGACCTGACTGGCCCCACCCCCATCAAGCCCTGTCGGATAGGGGGCATGGCCTGAGGTCCCATGGCCTGATGCTGGAGTGGGTGGTGCAGCCTGAGGTTCCCTGTCAAGCCCCTTCAGACAGGGGAGGACACATCCTTAGGTCTTTGACCAGGCCCAGCGCCACACACCCTCAAGTCCCTGCTGATTGCTCGTTATGGCTTATTATGGGAACTCGGCCTTTACTGTGGGCGCAGCCATCTTGTTTTGGCATGACTGTCAATTTGCATATTTCCTCTTTATTAGATAAGATAATTTGAGTTTTACTATGATAATATCTTCAAATTTCTATTTGCTTTTTAGTTTTTGATTATGTATATAAGCAGTTCTGGATTGCTTTAATATTGAGATAATTTAACATTGGATTGTAGTTTCTATGATAGCTTGTCTGTTTGCAGTTCACCTTAACTTCTACAGTATAGACTTTCAGAGCTATAACCTGAAGTGTAGGTGGATTTCAAAATTCCCTTCTTTTTCTTTTAATGTTTTAATTGATTTTAGAGAGAGGGAGAGAGATTTAGAAACATCAATGATGAGAGAGAATCATTGATCGGCTGCCTCCTGCATGCCTCCCACAGGGGATTGAGCCCATAATCCAGGCATGTGCCTTGATTGGGAATTGAACCATGTTCTATGTTCAACCACTGAGCCACACCAGCCAGGCTCAAAGTTTCCTTTTCAGTGGGCTCTGCACTCAAGTTTTCTTCTCTAATCCCATACGATTTTCCAAAGCTCCACTCAGTTTTTTACCTGTCTTTCCAGAATTGGTAGCAGCCATTGAGGGAAGCTTCCCCAAATTGTAGGCTTTATTTTTCTTATTTTCTTTACTTTCCTGGATATTGTTCCCTTGTTAGCTCTTACATGAAGTCAAATAGATTTTTAAAAACACATTTTTTCAGCTTTTTTAGTTCTTAGTGGGAAGGTGATTATATTACCTCTGCCAATTCTAAATGTGAAAGTCTTCCTTATTCCTTTTTTTTTTTAACTACCATTTTTTTTTCTATATATGGGATATTAAAAATATGTATAGACTGTATTTTCCCAATACATCAACTCAAACAAAACTGGCTTTTACTGTATAATTATTATTGAATTTGTTAGTGAATAGAGAATGCCATCTAAGTTTTCTCTTTATATGGGGCAGGCAAAAGTACAATTGTGAGTACACAAAATACAAAGTTTATTCTTGTATTATTATTATTAATTATTGTATTTCCATATGAACAACTGCAAACATACTTTTGACTACCTCTGAATTTATATTTCTTTTACATTGTCATTTCTTAGAGAAAAATGAGATTAGGAATTCTTAATTCAAGAGTTTAAAAAATATACTTTGTGTAGTAGTGTTGAATTGAAATTATTTTCAACAAATTAATATCAGTAGTTTTAAGTTCCGTACTCTTTCAGTATTTGGTTACCATATATTGCTAAAACATTCTATCAGACACGATTCCATTGAAGACCTCTAAAATCCTGGATTAGAATAAACATATCCAAATAATTATTTAGTCCCTATAGATACTATTGAAGACTAAACTTGCGGAGAGATAAAGTCCTAATTTATTATTACCTTTACTGTTTTGGGATTTTAGTTATAGACTTAAACCATTTCTTAGTATATGTGCTATGTCCAGGGTCCCCAGGGCCATCCCCATGTTTGGAGGTGAGTCAACAAATAATTGTACTTACTGCAGTGATGTAATAAGGAGATGTAGATGGATCATAATGAGAAAGGCACAGGTGGGGTCTAGAGAAATCTGTATGCAGGGTTTTTTATGCTCTCTTCATGAGAGGTCATAAGAGTCACAGTCTTCCCCTAACAACACAAATGCATGTGTGCAATGTTTCTGCGTAGGGAATCCCATTAGAGTCTCAGAGCCCAAGATTTTTATTAAGTGCTTCCGTCATGTAGGCACCCACACCTGAGCACATAACCAAAATTCTAAACTCCCAGGTGGAATGCAGGTGTTCAGCATAAAATGCATACGGTGAGCCACTTTTATCATTAAGGAAAGTTTTATGTATATCTTGGAACTGTTTCCCAGATGGTTGTCAGATTCCAGCCAATGGCCTTGCAGGAAGGCCTTTCTTAGGATAGCTGTCTTCCGCTGACTGTGTTATAATCTTTTCTGAACACATGCCTAAAATGACTAATAGTTGACATTTTTTGTAAACATGGAATATGAATATCAAAGATCTCTGTGATAATTTTTGTTTTGATAATCAGTAAAATATTTATTATTAAACTTAGGTAGCTAAAATAGTTGAGTGGTTATAATGTCTTAATATGTACCATACATGTTTTTACTAATGTGCCAGTGCCTGTTGTCAGTTTTAATCCCTATGTGGGAAGAACAAGACGGTGTTAGAACATTTAGTACATCTAAAAAGACTGTTTAAAAATTAAATTATAGTGGGAAATGATCTATTATGAAAAGATACTTCAGATGTCTCCTTTTAAAGTTCATATTGAACCACCCACATATTTTTCAGATTTCAGTGGACTTGTTTTTCTTATAAGAGTTTTTTGAAGGAAGTACTTTGCTATTAAGAATTTTGACTAAACAGTTCTTTTGACAACCAGAAATAATGAAAAATAATTCCTGACTACTATTAGAATCAAATTGGAGAATCTTAGATATTATAGACTAGATTTCTTATTTCCAAATATGAAAGCTGACCCAGGAAATTAAGTGACTATCAGCAAAAATGTGAATAGCTGGTTAATTTCATTTCATTAGGTTTTAGTTATAGATATGCACTTGAAAACATTATTTAAAAATATCAAGAGGCTATGGATTAATTTTGAATTTTATTCTTGGATATCTTTTCATGCCTAATTTGGTCATTTCATTTCATTTATTCAACAAATTTAACAAGCATTTCTTTAATCCTTGCTGAGTGTCAGACACTAGTTTTAGGTGTCGGGTATTTATTTATTTGTAATCAAATTAAAATCTGTCCCATCAAGTGTAGGTTGGAGCTGCCTGTTATTCTGTAGGTTCTTAAGTATATGCATTTATTACACTGGATCCTGGTCCCTCAAAATATATCTCTTTTTTCCTCCCCTTAAGGTAATACTGCATTGCATGATTGTGCAGAATCTGGAAGTTTGGACATCATGAAGATGCTTCTAATGTATTGTGCCAAGATGGAAAAGGATGGTTATGGAATGACTCCCCTTCTCTCAGCAAGTGTGACTGGTCACACAAATATTGTGGATTTTCTGACTCACCATGCACAGACCAGCAAAACAGAGCGGATCAATGCTTTAGAGCTTCTGGGAGCTACATTTGTAGACAAAAAAAGAGATCTACTTGGGGCTTTAAAATACTGGAAAAAGGCAATGAACATGAGGTACAGTGATAGGACTAATATAATTAGCAAACCAGTACCTCAGACACTAATAATGGCTTACGATTATGCCAAGGAGGTAAACAGTTCAGAAGAGCTAGAAGGTCTTATTGCTGATCCTGATGAGATGAGAATGCAGGCACTATTAATTAGAGAACGTATTCTTGGTCCTTCTCATCCTGATACCTCTTACTATATTAGATATAGAGGCGCTGTCTATGCAGACTCTGGAAACTTCAAACGATGCATCAACCTATGGAAGTATGCTTTGGATATGCAACAGAACAATTTGGACCCATTAAGCCCAATGACCGCCAGCAGCTTATTATCATTTGCAGAACTGTTCTCTTTTATGCTACAGGATAGGGCTAAAGGCCTGCTGGGTACGACTGTTACATTTGATGATCTTATGGGCATATTGTGCAAAAGTGTCCTTGAAATAGAGCGAGCTATCAAACAGACTCAGTGTCCAGCTGACCCCTTACAGTTAAATAAGGCTCTTTCCATAATTTTGCACTTAATTTGCTTGTTAGAAAAAGTTCCTTGTACTCTAGAACAGGACTACTTCAAAAAGCAGACTATATACAGATTTCTTAAGCTGCATCCAAGGGGAAAGAATAACTTCAGCCCTCTTCATCTGGCTGTGGACAAGAATACTACATGTGTAGGGCGGTACCCTGTTTGCAAATTTCCATCTCTGCAAGTTACTGCCATACTGATAGAATGTGGTGCTGATGTGAACGTCAGAGACTCCGATGACAACAGTCCCCTACATATTGCTGCTTTAAACAACCATCCAGACATCATGAATCTTCTTATCAAATCAGGTGCACATTTTGATGCCACAAACTTGCACAAACAAACTGCTAGTGACTTGTTGGACGAAAAAGAAATAGCTAAAAATTTGATCCAGCCCATAAATCATACCACATTGCAGTGTCTTGCTGCTCGTGTCATAGTGAATCATAGAATATATTATAAGGGGCATATCCCAGAAAAGCTAGAGACCTTTGTTTCACTTCACAGATGATAATTTGACTATATTTTAGCACTGTTAAAGCACGAATTATTAACAGTTGTTTCATAAATGAGCACTGTTATAACACCAGCATTCATTTAGCTTGATATCATCGTGCACTCATTGGCTAAAACATTATAAGCTCAAATTTACAGGATTGGTTTCCCAGTATTTACTACAAATATACCATAAATATATTGTTTGTGAATTATTGAAAAATGTAATGTCATAATTCAAAATTTTAAAATTGTCTGCCAAAGGCTTATTCATTCTGGTTTTGTTTGCTGTGGGGTGTTTGGGACAGAGTTAACCATTCTTCAGTGGTATCTTTATACTCTTCTGGTTTGTGAATTTTATACAATTGAAAGTCTGTCTTTTCTGCTTCTTTTCCAAGGTTCTCCCATTTTCACCTTATGTTTTTTCTAACCATTTCTACTTATCATTTCCCCATTCCCCTTATGGACCCATGCTAGATTGTACAAACTTTATGGACTCGTTACCATATGCAGTTACCATAAGTGCTTTATCTTATCTACGCACCGGCTTAAACTTGACTGTTGTATATTAGCATATTTTCTATGCAGCACTTGGTCAACTTCAACTCAAAACACCGTTCAGTTTGTTACAAAGTTCATTTTATGAAAGTACTCTTGTAGCATGGCAATTTTTAGAGCTATTGGTTAGTTACCTGAGCTCAAGCTTTTTTTTTTTCTTCCACATCTGAGATTTCTTTCTCTAATCCACTGAAATCATTATGTGCTAAATTTGGGAAACAAATCTATTCTAACTCATTAACCCAGTTGAAATTTAGGTCTGTCATCTTAATATATCATGCAGTAAAAGGAGGAATTTTTTTAAAGTGACCCACCTTTCATGCTGTGCCAGCATTGTCCTGCTTGTGCTGATGACGTGATTAGGTGTAGAGAAGTCGCTTAAATTTAAACTAAAATTTATCACACAGCTTAATGAGTCACATTGAAATATTCAGTAATTGAACTGCAAATCATTTTTAGTTACAAAAAGAGCTAAAGCATGTCAATGGCATGATGCTTGCCAAGCCAAATCTAGACATCTAGGATAATTAAGATATTTTAGTATGCAATTGACTGCTATTGTATCAAAGGTCAGTAACAGTGTTCTTTCTTTAAGTTTAAGTATACCTTTAAAGATAACTTGCATGAGTTATTTTGGTCTCAATTATTTGTCACCATAGTTAAACACACAAGGTTGCAGTGCTTCCTTTTCCCTTACTGAAAGTTAGCTTTCTTTACTATTTTTCCCCCTCAGTGTTTTTTAAACAGCTTTACTAATGTCACAGAAAGGGCTCTTTTAACTTAAGATAAATGAAACGTACTAAAAAAGATTCAGGTAATTATTATTCAGCACTTTATTGTTATTCAGAATAAAATTTATGATGGCATATTTGCCCTGCAAATGTCTTACTTAATAAAATTGTTATAAATAAAAACTCCTTATTGGTTTGAGAAAAATTCAGTTTACCTGTGAGTTTAGTGAGCTGGATCACCGAGATTTTTGTGTTGACATTTATTCTGAGGGTTGATGTAATAGTATTTAAGGAGTCATCATTGCAAACATCACATTAGGTTTATTTCATCTTTACTCAGTAAAATACTTGAACAGTAAAGCAGCATTAGGCTTTGTGGTTAAATAATTGAGGTTTAATTTTTAAAAAGATATCCTTAGTGTACTAGGTTGTAAATTTAATTTTACCATTAAAAAAGATGAATTAGATTTAAATGGTCCCTCTCCAATCTTTTGATGAAGAGATTTTAATATCTTACCACGGCAAATTTGATGAAATATTTGAACTGCCGCATATAATAAGAATAATTTGTGATTTAGACAGGTATTCTAAAAATAGCAAACATCAATATTTTGAAACCATTGACTCTAACCTTGTGATACAAGAATAATATATGCCTGAGCTAATTTTTATTTTTAAAGAAACTGTTGCTAGTAGACTAAATCTACACTAGTTGATCTCAATAATTATTGGGTAAAAGATGAGCAATTGGATTTTTAAGTGATTTAATATTTCCTCCTTTTTTGGAGTGGGTAGGAGGGCCTACATGCTCTTATAGTAAGGCAGATCTTACTATACTGTTCACACTGTTTACAGGTGAACTTGAATTGTACAACCCTAGTATCAATTAAGGACTTCTTAGCATTTTTCCACCACTAAATTTAGATAACTGTTCACCAAATCTTGATAACTTGAAATGCCTTATTTCATTTAAGATGCAATTCTACTCTGCCATTTTCCCAAATGTCATTAGGAGCGCTTGAAAAATCAGTTTAATAGCTGAAAATTGTCCATGATTTTTAGAGGAGGTTGGTAATGTGACCTGAGACACTGTATAGGCCTTTGTCAGAAGGTGTTCTCAAAATTATTGTGAGACTGAATAAGATAAAAATTTTGTGGGTTTTTTTTTTTTTAAACCACAAATGAGTAATTTAATACTTAATGAGCTAATTGTCATTTGAGTCAATCTAAACTTTACACTGTTGCATGGTGATGTTGGCTGGAGTTAATATGTAAGTTTTTATTACATTTCTATAAAAATGCCTTGTTAAGGCCTGCTAAATTTTACATATTCCACTAGTGATCATTTCTGTGAAAGAAATGGTCACTTTACTCAGATTTGATACTAGTCCGCTTTATAAAGACAAGTGGATTATAGATTTAAAAGATCATCATTTTCTTATCTATAAATATGACAGGCACATAAACCCAAATCAACAACAGATAAGTTTGTGCCCAGTATGATTTTGAAGTTAATAGCTCACTTGTAAAGTGACTACCTAATGTAATGTAGAATATTTGAGACCCCCATCTACTGTGACTTGGGAAAATTGTTAGGCTATATTTGAAAAATTAATTCTTTAAAATCATATTGCCCAGCAGATACCTAAGTTGAATTTTTACAGGTATAATAATCCTTGTAAATTAATTTCTCAGAATTGTGGGGGCTGAATGAGAAAATAAGAATTCTTGTGCGCTCTAACAGCATTATTGCTTGAAACTTTAACCATTTTAGAGTTAGATACTAAGGAAACTAAAATTAATTGGTTATCATCTCCCCCCCCAACCCTCCAAATACGTCATTAAACAACTAGTTTCCCTTTTGTCCATTCCCATTGTGTATTTTTCAGAAGTACTGTATTCAGGTGCCAGCCAATAAATTGTCACACAATGGAAAATGATATGCCACAACATTCATTGTAAGGTCTAATAAAATTAAATTTACACCAAATACAAGTGTATTTTTATTAACTTTAATACTTGATTGATGTTATCTTACTGCTTTTTGATAGCAGACTCTTGCTTCAAAAAACAATTTATGGTCAGAACTTAAGACAGCATTTATTTTTAATACTTCTATGTAAAAAAGATTTAGGTATAGTTTTTAGTTTTCATTGAAGACCATAGAAACTAAAGATGGGAAGACTTGTTTGTTGTCAAATGCCTGGGAGAGGGATTGCTTTTAACTCTTTGTTTTTAAACTGCTTTGGTATTAAGTATCAGAAGCATGTCATAAATATATTACTATGAAGGTAAGTTTTAGAAATTTATTTACATCACTTTTAAATCATAAAATCTAAGTGCTCATTGTCTTTTCCTTATATAATCTTCCTAATACAAAAAGATTTAATAGGTCTAGAAAATGCATTGGCTGTAATTTCTAAACTCTCATGCATAGACTAAAATATCCAATTGATTATGCTTTCCCTTTTTGAATCATTAACCTGCCACATAGTAAGTACTAGCTTTGCCATCCTTTTGACAGGACCCTTATAAACCAAAGTCTTTTATACCCTTGATTCTGTGATTGTCCCTGAACACTACCACCAATATTTAAAAGAAAATTAAAATTTCTAGGATAAGGATATTTTTAAGGATTTTAACAAAGAATTGTCTTATGTCCTTGAGATACTCTTTTAAAAATATTTTTTTAACCCTTTCTCCCATCTCTTTACTATCAGGTTCTTGAGTAACTTAGGGTTGTGGGAATTATCAAATAATTGGTTCCTTGATGCCATGTTACCTTACATTTTGTTTATTGTAAAGACTTAAGATCTCTAGTAAAATGAACTCAACTTTAATTATCTCAGATTATAATTTATTTTCCTAATATTTGATATAAAAATGAAACTACGGTTCTCTGCCTTAAAACAATTGAAAATTCATACTTACAAAAGTAATACATTTAAAACATTCACATTAAAGAAGGATTTGAAGAATAGCAAACTAAAACAATGTAAGTGCTTATTAACCACTGTATACTTTGCTGTAAATCAAGAAGTGAAGTGGTTTAAAGTATTTGACATTGCCAAAAATAAAAATGGAAAAAAAGAATTCAGTCTATTCTAGAAAAAATATTTCCAAAACTTTCCAGTCAACAGTCTCTTGTAAAGTGAGACCTGCTTTATTTAAAGACACATTTGAGCCTAATTTCCTTTTTTTCCTGAAAAACCAAATATAACTTTGGCAGGTTTACATAATAGATAACCGGTACTAATTAATCCTAGAATTGGTACTTAAAATTGAATGTCTTTGTAGATTATAAAATTGTGATATTTATTCATTTAGCAGCCACCTTGATTTTTTTATATTTAATGTAATCATTACAAGGGCTCAACTGGAGACATTTAAAAAAAAAACGAAAATGACACCACAGCTTCAATACAAAATCCTACACAGCAATCAAAGGAGGGACCAAAAGGAGAAAACAGCAACGCAGGGAGACAGGCTGGATGGGCAGGCCAGGGCTCTTGGAGGGAGACCTGTTTTGAGTAGTTTCCTTGCAGGTTCTCAAAGATTGTGGGTGTTTCCAGAACTTAGCAGCATGTGTGTTCAAAGGACTATTGATGTTGGGTTCTCAGCAAGCTCTGCATGGAGAATAGGATGGAGCTGACCATTTGTCCTTCAGGATGTCCAGGCAGAAGTGACCTGTATCCATATGGTGGTGGTTAGTGGGCTATGACATTAG